ATAATTAGAACCCCACACAAGATGTAGAGAATAAAATATGAAAAACAATAGGCCCTCCGCTTGGCACCCTCGCGACGGTGACCATAAGTGGCTTGCCCCCCCGCCCCTCGGCACCTTCCCCGAGCCCATTTGACAGGTGTAAGGGTTTCGAAGGGGTGGAACCTCTGATCATGTTGGTTTCAACGAGTCCTGCTTTGTTCAACTCGCCCCTCTCCCCCCTCCCTGACAGTTACCCCGCTCCCACACCGCCTCCATACCGGGCTTTCTCAAGCCATTTGACGGTTTCGAAGGGGTCGGACTTTTGACGTGTTGCTTTCAACGAGTTGCCCCTACCCCCTCCCCCACCGGACAGTTTCCTTTGCCCACTTGATTGCATCCATGAACCAATGCCTGCCGTGCATGCGAGCCCCATCCGTAGCTTGCTGGGATTGCAGTTTATGCTGCATGCATCACATCTTTTCCTAGCCTGGAGGAACATTGCAAAGTTCCTTGCGGTCCAGTTGCACCCTCAAAGCATTCTTCGGCTGTTGACTATGTCGTACTATGCTCTGCATTCTTTGTTCGGGCCGCGCATTTGCTTACCCAATCTGTTGGCAAGGTTTACTCTGGGGGTTCGGAGAGTTGCAGTCGCACGCAGCACAGCTTCAGGTCTGAGACGTAATTATATTTGTGAGCTGACGAGAAGGATGCAGAATTCTGATACTTGGGCCAACCCACAGGCCTTTCTGGTACACCCATTGAACATCCCGAAGGCTTCCTCTTGCTCTGTCAGTCAAAACGACCGCAAGCATTGAAGCAAAATGGGTGCGCCCTGGTAAGCATGAGTACTTGACGGTGGCATGATGATCAAGCTCCCGCCTTGCACAGTGATTCAAAGTCCTGGAGAAGTGCACGTGCCATCTCCTGCACCTGCCAGATTTTTTTTCGACAGCTCATGCATCAATGGCCATGTGTGGCGCGGACAATTTTCTTCAAGCGCATCAGCCTCAGTGTATGTTTCCATCTGAAGCACCTTCAGTGCACGTCATCTCGCAGACTACATTAGTGCCCAAATGGACACATGCACACATGTGCCAGGCTGGTCGCATCTAACAGTCTAACAACAAACACAACATGACAACCCCAAGCACTCTCCCTGACAACCCCAAACACTGCTGATGGAAAACATTGCTGGAAGTATGTGTCGGAAGTCCCCACGTCCAGGCTTATTCTGCAAGCAAGCCTTCCCCGGCCCAAACAAGTACCGTTCCCTTCTCCTTTTCTGCAGCCAGACAAAATGAGCCATGGTCTAGACTGTCGGCCGTTGGGCATGAGTTCCGGCCCTATTTGCTTGACAGAGATCTATCGCAAACCCTGCCACATCCTGGACACAGACTGCAGGGCTGAGGCCGGCTGAGGTGCAAACTCTGTGGGCCTTCTCCAGCAAGCTTGAATCAAAGTGGATCACCTGATTGCTGCCTCCAAAATCGACCTCATCACGAACCCGTGCAGCAGTGCTGTCCTGCTGCGCACCCGGCTGAGCCAGCGACGTTCTGCTTGAGCAGTCCCAAGCGCTGACACAAAGAAGCAGCTTGAATCTACAAGGACACATCATTCAAGGCAACCAAGCTTGTGACCCAGGCATAAACTCCATGCCTCCCGGAACGGATCTCCAGTGGTACTGAGGAGGGCATCGCACCTCAGAAGCCAAGCTACCCTCGACAAAACTATGCCCTGCGAACAGAATGCCTCAATGGTCATCAGCTGCCCGTCGGTCTAAAGCATAACATCCCTCACCTTCACTTCGTCATGACAGACACCTACCTAGAGCTACTGGAGCAGCGATGCTGCTCAAATCAGGCACAGGCACAGGTTACCAGTAGGCAGAATTAACACGAATGGCGCTGCTGTCTACTGGTCCCCCGGTCAGACCTCTGAACCCAGTGCCAACCACGCAAAATCTCCCACAATGAGAATTTTCCCCAGGCTATTGACCTGCATACTTTTCCGATGCGCAATGGCATTTCTTAATCTCACCCACGGCGGGGTCTCCATCGAAATTGTCAGCACCTTGCGTCACTGCCATGCGGACGTATGCCTGCATGGCATGCTACTCAACATTTAACGCAAACTTGGCCTTTACCGTCTGCAAGGGCAGCACAACAGCTCTTCTGCTGCCAAGGTGCGGCATTCAATCCTGCCTTGCGCAGCCTGCACCTTACAGGGCTCACCTCTTCACACTAGGAGGCTGTGTTCAAAAGCATTTGCCTGAAGCGGCCTCCACCACTGGACTTCGGCGCGCTTGCGTCCCGAAATATACCTTGGCCAAGAAGCTAAAATTGAAGGTCAACACACATGTGCAAATAGATTATTCATGCAGTGCTGTTGACATTGCTACGCACTTCTTCTGCAAGCATACCTCGGGAGGCCCCCTTCCCTGTGACTGCTGGCAAATTTCAAGAGCCCAGACCACATGAAGGGCCAAAAGTGATGACAGTTAGTTACAAGGATCGCGATGCCAGGGGGCGCCATCCCTGTCTCTGTCGGCACTTTTGAGGCGCGACGAAAGCATGAGGAGCTTAAAGCGACGACAGTTACGAGGTTTGCAACCCCAAACCCACATCTCTGCACCTGTTGGCACTTCTAGGTTTGGGCTGGGGCGCGGGTTTTGGTCTTGGTTTTGGTGGCGGTGGCGTTAGCAGTGGCGTTGGCATTGGCGGCGTTGGCAGCGGCGGCGTTGGCGGTGGCG